GCTCAAGACTTGGTCTTGAACGAACTCGAGGGGAAAATGCTAAGTGCCAGCAAATATTTCCAGGCGTACCATGGAGTAGTCGGCCTACCTAATACTAGAATATGAGCCAATTCGATTTTTTGACTATTGCCGGTGATTTGTCAATTTGTCTGAATTTTGGTGACATCTCTTAAAAAAGCGAAGATTAGTGTCTTAATTTTCCCCAACGTTCACTGGTTCCTGTTCATAATGTGACTGCTGTTTCTTTGGGTATGGGTTGCATTGTTAAAATCACAGTACAACAAACCTAAAACGATTAGACACTTTTTGATATCATTCTATCCTTTATTGATATCGTGCTACAATTTCCTTCAAGGCTTTTACATGTTTTGGTGAAGCTCACTCAATCAAGAATGCTCCAAAGTAAGTGTGAGCAGACGCCAAGTAAAGTATGACGAGTCAGGCGGTATACAGCGATATGACGTCACCAGCTTTTAGGTGAAGCACTCCCCCTGTATACTGGGGTCCTTGAGGCACGTTGATGGGATGTTGAACCATGGTGAAAACTTGCTTTTGATTCTTTTGAATATACACTCTCCCGGCGGTGCGAAAGAACACTTGTGCGTAGACATAGTACGCTCCATCTTCAGGCACAGTCAGACAACCAGAATTGTATTTCATACGGCCCTGGAGACGGCTGTGCACATTATTCAAATCCCAGTCTGTTATCGCTGTGGGGAATATTTTAGAATTGAAAATTAGAAAAACTGAGAAAGCTGTTCAAGTAATCAAGCAAGTTCAGGACTACCTTGATTAGCATCATACTGAACTACTTCTTTGTTGCTGGCCTCGATGTGAGCCAGAGGAAGAGGATCCTGGAACAACAATAAGATGAAATAGGTGGGCATCAGTTTTATACTAACCTACGATTGCAGGAACTTACCTATATCTTAATTTTCTCTAGACTGGAGTTTTCGTCTATGAACATTTTCAAAGAATGTCTACGAGTTATGACTCTAGTTTT